GCGACAAGTTCCAAGTTCTCGATCTCAAGAAAACTGATTACTATCCCAGTTCAGATAACTTCTATTGGGATACATTACATTACCCCAAGGAATCTGCGAGAACTGGAAGCACCATCATTGTGTACATGCTTGTACCATAGGCTATTCGGCAAAGCTCAGCTTCATCACACTTGCTCTTCATACACATACAGTTACACTGGGGGCGCAAATTCGGCAAAGCTCAGCTTCATCACACTTGCTCCTCATACACATACAGTTACACTAGGGGCGGCAACAAGGGAGACTTTCACATAGTGCTCTCCAAAAATAAAGAATGGGTTGTCCAGATCCGACAGATTTCCAGTGTTATGATTATTCTAACAAGTTCTCCTCTCGAAATGGTTTCTCCAGCGGGTTTTCCATATGCTTATTCTCCAGTGCATTCTCCAAATTGTGTCCAACCAACGTATATTTATGGACCAACTTGGCTCCAAATACATTCCCACATGTATATTTATGGACCAATAACTTGATGATTATAACAAAAGGTGACATTTCAACTCTTTGACAACAAAGTACAAACATTCTCCAAATAACTATGCCTAAACATTTGGATACACTTTAAATGGCTTGGATGTATATAATCATACATGATTTTCTCCAAGTGCCGGTGCACAAGTATCTACGACTACTTGGGACAAACAAATCTGAATGGTGCATTGAGATCTCCATGAAGCCATTAACTTACATGGGCAACATAACTTGCACCGAATACACCGAGATATCCATGCAACCATTGCTTCCCTGGGTAACCTAAATTATCCTAAAACGCACCCAATACTTCATGTATAAATGGTTGTTTCTCCAAACACATTAACTTTAACATTGCCTTTGGTTCAATGGATTCCGATGTTAACTAAGATTGTTGCTGCTTACTTCTTCCTCTTTGCATTCATACTCACACGAATGAACAGGCAAGACCAGCAAAATAACATTAACGCCGACTAGGCAGTTACTTCATCTTCGCATTCGTACTCACACGAATGAGCCGGCAAGACCAGCAAAATAACATTAACGCCGACTAGGCAGTTACTTCATCTTCGCATTCGTACTCACACGAATGAGCTGGCATGACCAGCAAAGTAGCATTAACGCCGAATAGGCAGTCACTTCATCTTTGCATTCGTATTCACACGAATGAGCTGGCAAGACCAACAAAGTAACATTAACATCGACTAGGCAGTTACTTCCTCTTTGCATTCGTACTCACATGAATGAGCCGACAAGACCAACAAAGCAACATTAACGCCGCCTATGTAGTTACTTCATCTTTGTATTCACACACGAGTGAGCCGACATGACCGGAAAGGTAACATTAACACCGCCGACGCGATTACTTCCCATCTTTACATTTATACTCACATAGACAAGACAATTGTTTCGTAAATTTTCGGATTCGTACACAAATGTAATTGCACAATCGACTGAGTCAACAAGGTAGTTACTTCCTCTTAAAACACCTCCCCTAAAAAAGGAGAAGCCTCGTTATTGCTAGGCCAAAAACATAATGGGTCGCCCCTCTGTACACAACAAGGGAAGCCCTGTCTTAGGACTCGGGGGCGACGGCTAAGTAGGTGAGAGTCCTAGCAAGGCAGCAGTTAAACTCTAACACTTGCCTACAACGCCTTTGTCCCTCACGGTGGTTGGCTACACCAACACCGTGAGATGCCCCGACTAGGGAAGAACCCCGAGGGTTAAGTGCAATCTGGAGCTTATAGGTTAGCCGCCGTGACGACAGGGCTAAGCCTATAATCACTTGGAGTTGCACCAATTACAGTTAAACATACATAACATCACAGACGGATACTGAATTGCATATCATTACTTCATGAATCCGAAAACATCAGCGGCCGCACGACCACACCAGTTTGCCCGCCCACACAGACCGAGAAATGTAGGCTTCAAAAACAATCATTCAACGACCCACGGCTAACACATACATGACTACATCATTTGAAGTGTGAATCGGTAGCTATGGTCACAACACAAAACATCTTCACCTTCAATGGTACCTCTCCATTACACTTTCTAATCAAATTGGTGGATGACGACTCCCCCGACTCAAAGCTCCGCTAATTCCTAGAACTCAACTACACGAATGGTGTTTTTAATCAACTAGATCACCAAGCTATAACAATAGATATGATTCCAATCTCGCCAAACACCTCGGCTAGTCCGACAACTCCGATTGCTTAGTCATGGCGAATGCCATCTAGTAGTTCTGGCACAGTTTTCACTATCTCCTAACTTCTCAAAGTCCAAATGCATTGTCTGTTAATTTACAACAACCACTTGTATCATCACATTCAGATCCCACATATTTGACAACCATTTCTTGGTACTAATATATTTTTCTTCAGCGCCTTGTTGCCAATTGCTTCTAAACACTCAGAAGAAGAAAGGGGCGACCCATGGATAACTCCGAAACTCCTTAGCAACAAAGAGCTAAAGCGTTAATTCGAGCACAAATTATTTTTCTCATACATTCTCCATTATCATACTTTACATCTTTGAGCTACTTAGTAGCTAGATTGAAGAATCTCACTCAAACATTATCAACTACAACCCATCTTTATCAGAAAAGATTATATTACAGACAATGGACTTGGGGGCGAGAACGGTGAATATAAAGAACTACGGCGGCTTGATCCCAACCTGGGTACGTAGGCAGCAGCTACATTCGTAGCGCATTCATTTTATCATTTCATCCTCCAAGACTTATAACAAGAAAAGAAGATAACCTTCCAGGGCCGGCCCTGAGTTTTGGGTGGCCCAATCCAAATTTTAACATAGCAAACCAAAATTTTCTTCTATAAAATGTAAATAAGAAAAACATTAAAAGAAAGTGATATACAGGGTTTGAAACTGGGTCAATTCCAAATGTGTTACAGTTATTACCAACAAATCTATCAATTCAATTTGATAACATTGTGGCCTTTTAAATAATATATATACATAAAGCTATGTACAGATGTGGCCACTAATTCGAATTTTTTTGTTTTGGCCCCAAGCAATGGCTTCATGGGCATGCCCTCAGGGCCGGCTCTGTAACCTTCTCCACAACATCAATCAAATTGCGAAGTGCCAAATGCGGCACATGTCAAGTGCACTATTTCTCTGAACCGACATCACTTCTAGTGTTGTCTGCTCAAAGAGGGGGCGATGTAAGTACCTATTATGATTTTGCCATGTGTCGCCTGGGAAATCAACGAATTTCAAGACTAAAGTAATACCACGAACACTGAATCAAAATATATAACGCTACACCGCACACGGACCCAATGGGCCTCCATTGATATTGGACCTTACTCAAATGACCTACAACAAGTTACTTGGCTTACACTTGGCCACATCATGCAAAGATAGACCATGAGATCTAAAGAGATCTCATGGTCAAGATCAAATCACTAAATGGTATAAAGGGTAAGCTATACAACCCTACAAAGGTATGAGATCCCCACCTACCTTTC